ATGTTCAAAACCTGCCTGGACGCAATCCTGGGAAATATGTTCTAGAAGACCCTGTTTGAGCAGGGTGGTTGGACTAGATGATCTCCAGAGGTCCCTTCCAACCTCAACCGTTCTGTGATTCTGCGATATGTGTGTGTGTGTGTGCGCGCGCGCATGTGTAATACATCTTTTGACTGTCTATATTCTGTGAATAAAAGCCAAACTTTCAAAAGACTCTGGTGCACAAATGGCATGGAAAGAAACTGGTATCTGGGGACTTACAAAGGTATTCATACATTCTAACTGCTTAAAAGTATAGCTAGCTAATGATGGATGCACAGCTGAGTTTGTGTTCAAAGTAGCAGTATGCAGATATTTTTATATACAGGCAAGAATCATGTTTAAGCCTCTCTTTTGCCTTTTAATTTCTAGTTGAACTAAACCAGAGTTTCATCTTAATTTAGAGCTAGTTCTGAATATGTTGTAGTTGTATATATTCTTTTCTGCTTTCTTCTTCCTTTAAGAAAAATCACTGGATTCTCTGCTCACAGTGAGTAGTATTATCAGGGTAGAAGCTCAGCAATATGTCAGGGTAATTCTTAAAGCTCTACACAGACTGGAGATTATTGAAGAATGCACAGACTTTTTTTTGTGTTAAATCTAAAATCAAAGGAGCTAGATCCCAAGTTGGTGGACATTATACAATTTGGTGATGCTATGCTGATTTATACCTCTTGAGAGTTTGCCTGCAGCAGAAGCTGGAGGTGATGAGAAGAGATTGGACAAGAGAAAGACCATCCAGGAGAAATTCACAAAATTTGTCATTCTTCAAAGGACCATCATTACATATGGTAAGGCATATCATTTATCTCAGGCTCAGAAGAAAATGATTTCTACTAGGAGGATATTAATTTTATTTCTTACAAGATCAGCTGATGCAGTACGCTTTCTCCTGGCTGATCTTCCCCTTCTGTTTTCTCTAAAGCGAAAGATGGGAGCTTGAAAATGTCTTATCTGTAGCGGACAAGGAAGCTGGCATTTTGCCGTCCTTTCTGCTCACAGAGAAGATAATGGTAATTATATATAGAAATGTAACATTTCTCTTCCTTGAAAGAGAACTTTTTAATGCAAAATATTTAGAAAAGTCAGATCTATTCTGAGGCTAGTGAGACACTAGGATTAGTGAACTGACAACTTTTCTGGAGAAAAAAGATTTTTTTTCTCCCTTTTCAGGGAC